ATCTTGTTGACCTGGGACTCTGCAATGTCAGCGCGCTCCTCAGCCTCCTCCAGCTCATGCTGGACCTTCCTGCACTTGGACAGGTGGACATTGGCTTGCTCCTCCTGGAAGACGGTACAWGGTAAATGGTTAAATGACCAGCAGATATACTTYATATGAAATCTGATGTCGTATAAAGTTGTCATTGTTTAAAAATGTATGTTTTGCCCTTACCGCTTCCTCAGCCTGCCTCTTGTAGGCCTTCACCTTGAGCTGCAACTTGTCAACCAGATCCTGCAGCCTGGYAACATTTTTCTTGTCCTCCTCAGTCTGTAGTTGAAARMACATAGATTTGCATGTTTTAATGGGAAGTATATTCTTAGATTTGCTTGATTTGTACTATAAACATTAAATGTCAAAGTGACTATACCTGGTARGTGAGYTCCTTCACTCTCCTCTCGTATTTGCGGACACCCTTAACAGCATCTGCTCCACGTCTCTGCTCACCCTCAACCTCTGTCTCAAGCTCACGCACCTTTTTGAAATAAAAACAAATGCATGCACAGTTTACTCAACATGTTTTTTTTAAACTTTGTTTATCTGTGTAAAATTCTAACATGATTCTTTTACCCTAGACTCCAGTTTCTGGAGCTGCTTCTTGCCACCCTTCATGGCCAGGTTCTCAGCCTCATCCAGGCGGTGCTGCAGGTCCTTHACAGCAACCTCCAGGTTCTTCTTCATCCTCTCCAGGTGAGCGCTAGTATCCTGCTCCTTCTTCAGCTCCTCAGCCATCATCGCAGCCTAGAAAACACAATATTTGGTTTAGAAATATCAAAAAAACAGTATTAAGTATGAATAATAAGTAAAAACTTAAGCTTACATCAGTGATGGCTTTCTTAGCCTTWTCCTCTGCGTTCCTTGCTTCCTGAACTGTGTCATCAACTTCACCCTGGACCTGAACCAGGTCAGACTCAAGCTTCTTCTTGGTGTTCAGAAGGCTTGTGTTCTAAAGGATGAAAAAATTAAGTTACTTAACTCATCAAATGCCTACTTTTCATGTTGTTTAACATTTAATTGGTTTTATATATTGAATTACTGTTAATATTTGTCCACCTGAGAGTGCAGAAGTCCAACACGCTCACTGGCATCCACCAGCTCCTGTTCAGCAACTTTGCGACCTCTCTCTGTCTGTTCCAGAGCAGCTCTAAGTTCCTCAATTTCAGCCACCATCAGACCGTTTCTGCGATCCACCATAGCAGCTTGTTCCTTAAGGTCTTCCTGGGCTCTAACAGCATCATCAAGGTGCAGTTGAGCATCCTAGTGAAATGATACCAGGAAAATATACAAATGAAACTCAAAATKGACTGTAGCTGCACTCACAATACTGTAGTTTGTACAACAGCAGAATGTCTGACAATACCTTCARCTGTGMCTGCACATTCCTCAGCTGCTTCTGGGACTCAGAAGCCTGGCGATTGGCATGGCTCAGCTGAATCTCCATCTCATTCARGTCTCCCTCCATCTTCTTCTTGAYTCTCAGGGCATCRTTCCTGCTCCTGACCTCAGAATCCAGAGTGCTCTGCATGGAGTCAATAACCCTCTGGCTGTTTCTCTTGATCTGCTCCATCTCCTCATCTTTTTCTGCCAGCTTCCTGTCCACCTCACCCTTGATCTGGTTGAGCTCCAGCTGAACACGCAGGATCTTAGACTCTTCATGTTCCAGAGTTCCCTGATGACATCATAGTGTAAAAGTTTGGTCCTTACCTTCAAGGCTTTTATGCCAATATACTGCATTGTCCTAGATTTGTATTTTTTTCTCCTCAGAAATCTCCCTGGATATAACAAACATACCTCAGCCTCCTCAAGAGCTGTCTGAATCTCAGATTTCTCTGTCTCCACCTGCTTCTTGGCCTTCTCCAGCTCATGGATGCTCTTGCCAGTCTCACCAATCTGTTCAGTCAGATCAGAGATCTCCTCTGCAGAGAGACACATATTATATATCGTCAAGCCTTGAAATGTAAAATATGAACACTTACACAAAATGTGTTGAACATAATCAGACAATCAGGTAGGAGCTCTAACACAAACAATATGAATACATTATTCCCATTATCAGGTGGAAACTCACGTTGCAAGTTCTTGTTTTCACGCTTCATTGTCTCCAGMTGATCCAGAGMTTCCTCATAGGAGTTCTTCATCTTGAACAGCTCAGTGCCGAGAGAACGAGCCTCCTTCAGAGCTCCCTCAAGCTCTGACTGACCCTCCTCATRCTTYTGCTTCCACTCTGCCAAAACCTAAATAACACAATTCATTGTGTTCAGATGGATATTCAGCAAAACWAAGACAAGTAAAAAATACGTGTTKAATGTGATATGAATTGGCCACCTTGTCGAAGTTCCTCTGCTTCTTGTCCAGGTTAGCAGCCAGCCCATTAGCCCTCTCCACATCAATCATGAGGTCCTCCACCTCACTCTGGAGCCTCTGTTTGGTTTTCTCCAGGGAAGCACACTTGGAGTTCACAGCCTCAATCTGCTCCTCAGCCTCCTGAAGGCGCTGAGCCAGCTTTTTCCTTTTAAAGTAATGTTCAATATGTCTCTCAATGAAAATCATATCCASATTAACACACTTAACAACAAAGTGTTGCTTAGTAATWAACAAAGATACTTCCTTGATGTTTTGATGAATGAGMTCAAACAAGCTAAGCGTAATGTTACATTTCTGGTCGTTGTTYGAATGTTACTCACTTGGCCTCCTCCAGCTCCTCAGTGCGCTGAATAGCATCAGTTTCATACTTAGATCTCCAYTGAGCCACCTCACTGTTGGCCTTGGACATTCCACGCTGCAGCTCAGCCTTGGCCTCCTGCTCCTCCTCAAACTGTTCCCTCAGCAGATCACAGTCATGGCGGGCTGATTGCAGTCCATGGGCAAGAGCATTCTTGGCCTAGGATTCAAAATATGATTGAATGTTTAGAACTTTTCAATCTTATTCAGTGAGGCCAGGATGCACTGAAAGTTTTCTTACCTTAACCTCCTCTTCAATCTGTCTCTTCAGCTCCTCAATCTGCTGTGTGAAGGCCTGTTTGCCTCTGGTCAGCTGGGAGACCAGAGCCTCTTTCTCTTCAATTTGACGGCCGAACTCACCTTGTGTGAAAATTA